CAGAACATGGAAATGTTATAAATCATGATAAGTTGTTCTTATGCTTAAGAAGCAAACCAACCCAGACTAGCAGACTATCACAAAAGTCAAAGTTATGATCAAACAGCATCATCAGTGGAAGAACACATAAGGTTGGGACTCCTATTGGATTCAAGTCTGGTGAATGGCACTAAGGGATTTGTTCCAATTATAAAACTAATCGCGAAAGGTGTAGTTTGATATTTAAAGCTGTATTTGAAAAAAGAAAATTAAGGATTATGCTTCCTGTTGTCCATCATTAAAAAAAAAATGTTTTTTAAACTCCCAAAAGCCTAAAAATAAATATGCCCTCTATGTCTTCTCTTAAGTGACCTATTCAAAGTGATTGTTGCTTCCTCACTTATCTGTCTGCCCATCATATCTTATCACTTAGTTTACTCTAATAGTAATAATACTCTAATAGTGCTTTCAAATGTTACCAATTTTATTTCTACTATAATCCGGAAAGGAGGGTACTTACTGCTTTTTATGCCTGAAAGTAGTAATAAGGTTAGTAGTAAGGTTTAATTGAATTCCCCCAGTATTTCATTTATCTCACATATATCAACCATGGCATAATGCAACTTTATCTGAATGTCTCCTTATATGTCTGATTAAATATATTTCAGATGAAATAAATCTTGCACTGTTTTGTTAGTATCTTTATTCTTTTACTTTTGCAGTTCACTTGTTTCTCACATTTCTTGCTTGTTTTGTTGACATGTGCAGTCAATTATTTAGGCTTTTGAAAAAGTATGTACCGGTATGTCCAATTCCTTAAGGTTAGGGTTAGTCTAATGTTATCTAGAATGTATGAAAATAATCACTAAGCTGAGAGGAGAACCAGGTGAAAAAAGCAATTTTTTAGAGGGATCCACAAATAATTCAACATGTTGGCCTAAATATAATATACATCTTCCGTTAAATAAAAAAATGGAATGTGTTATACATGGAAACTCATAGTTACTTATCAGGTTAACATACAAGTTTTATTTACCGGTAGATGCGGTTTGGTTTAGACACAAGTTGGTTACTTTTGGATCAGGAAATATGGATCATGCTAATATAATGCTAAAATAAAATATTCATGTTTGTCGACTATTTAACTTTTTTCCTCAGCAGATAAAAGTTTTAAAAGCTATACTTTTTGGCAATTCAACAACATCAAAAATATTTTTCTTTGGCGATCCAAACTGAAGCGAAGAAATGTACATTTAACCAGGTGATTATCTCTCCCTCCTCATATTTTAGAGCTTATTGCTGTTTGCCTCCCTCACAGTTTTTCTGTCACTAACTTCTTTTTTTTTGTTAGTGGTCAACATTTTTATGTCTAAAGTGAGTTGGCAAAAGCACCTAAAGTTGAAAATCAAATCTGTATAATATGGTAAATGGCCTGTACTTATACAGTATGGCACTTTTGAGTCATTCAGTTATAATGAATTAGCCAAACCTTTCATATTGGCCATTCGAATTCAAACTAAATGCTCTTCTAAAGCATCTAAGTTTGGATAAACCCTTACTGCCATTGAAGGCAGCATTTTCACAAGAAGTTTTCCTTCTAACTACCCTTTTTTTGTTAACCTCCCCAATGCTAACCCTGTGCTCTATTGCTCTGTCTCTAGAAGCTCATATTTTGTAAAAGTTTTCAAAATTAGTATTTTTTCTGGCACAGTAGCTAAATGTTTATAAACCTACTAATGTTTCCTAACACGAGTCAAACCTTTATCCTTGCAAGGATCAGCTGCAAGGATAAAACAGAAAATCTGCCCTTGAATCTTAAAGCACACAAGACCACTACATACAACCCAATACCAAATATATTTTAAGCCTCACCAGAGAAACAGTGAAATAATGTAAACAAAGAAGCAAACTTACAGCTGGTCGAGGCTTAGTCCTGGCAAACCTTACAGTCATTTTTCCATATCTAGTTGCTTTTATAATTATGAAACGTCTTCACACAGTTTTGTTGGTAAATCTTTTCAGCTTTGTCCCAGTTATAAAAGGTTGTTGTTATTGGGTCTTCTAAATAGCTGCCTTAACAGTTTCTGTTCGAAGGGACATGTTCACATTAGTCTGTTTCACAGCTACTTTAATAAAGGTTTATTTGCAACTTATTTCTCTCATTTATCAGATGTAAAAATTAGGGACATTTGTGGAAAACAGGGATGTCTGGTCACCTTAGGTTAGGGCTTACTGGATTTAAACCTACAGAATAAACCCAGGAAGGCTAACGTTAACCGAATTATTTGTGATCTCAGAGCCATCATATATCATAAACAACATGGCGATGTCCGGGTGAGAATATTTTTATTTAGATCTATTAAAACTTAACAGCCTACAGAATTTCTACTTTATTGTATTTACATTGACAATAAACATTTCTTACTTAATTTCTATTTTTACAACTAACTGTGGATCCCTTTAAGTTTTGAAATCCTACCATTAAGTTTTTTTTTTTTTTTTTTGTTGCTCCAATTTATTTACTCAATGTGTAATTCTATCCTGGATTTTAGAATGCTTCTATGGATTTATACAATATGACCTTTTGGGATTAAAGAAAGAAAATTCATTTAAACCTGCTTTAAGTCAAATGTGTTTAATTCAGTTTTTTCATTTTATGTTGACCTTAGTTAGTTCAGTATTGATCAAACATTTTTTCCATGAAAACTTCATCATAAAATTATAAGTTTTAGGTCTTTCAACATATGATTTTATGTTTTGGTTAAAAGGCACACTATTGAAACAGATTTCACCCACAGCCCCACCCATCCACCCCTATGTAACTGCCTATGGCCTTCATTTATCAACCACTTCAGCTACTGCAGGCAGCTGTGGGGAGAAAACAGGAGAGCCCATTTGTTTACATGATTCTTAGCCAAGGCCCTCAGGACAAAACAGATGAGGATACTTACACATTGAAACAGAGTTATATGCAGCTGCTAAATTGGCATATAAAGCCAGGACATACAGCTGTCTGTATCTTTTCTGCTTGAGAAGTAGCAACAATTTATGATGGGGTGTCTGGCCTCTCCTTCTAAAAGACTCTAAGCCATCTTACATGGCCTTTGTCTCTCGAATACAATTTATTATTTTTTTGTCTGAAAATTGAAATACATGACAAAGACTGTAAAGTCTTACAGAAGTATTAATGTCTTTTGAACTTTTTTACATTTTGTAATGTCACAGTCACAAACTATATTCAGATGTTATCTGGTAGATCAACACACAGGTTGGGATTATGGGGTGGAAGGCAATATATTGAATATTCTTAACAGGGGAAAGCTTAAAAAAAGGGCTTAAATGCATTCATATTCAGTCCCCATTACTCTGACACACCTAAATAAATCACAACAGGACCAGCACTGTTTAGGGGTCACCTTGTTAGTAAATGGAATCTAAATTGTGTTTAATGAATTCCACTTTGGACCCCAAAAAAACATAGAGCTCCTTCTGTCTATCTTAAATAGACGGCAGTACTTTCTTTTTATTGTCTAAAGAAAAGTAAAATGATGCCCCGAATAAAATTCAGTGCAGCTACCTGTAGAATACACTGTTCTGTTAGAAATCATCTTCAATTTTATGGGAGAACAGCAGTAAATAAAACAGCATCATCATGAAGGAACAAACCAGCTTGAGCAGGAAAATAACTTCCAGAGAAATTTTAAATCAGCCTAATTTGCCAACATGATACCAAGCTTCAAACATCTCATAAAGCACTGTCAGATGCACCATCTAGAAAAGGAAAGAACATAATACATGCTGTGTGACAACAAATCTCATCTTTAAATGAGACTGAAAAGAAGAATGTCACTGATGAAATAATGTTCTAGGAGGTCCCATATGCACATTACGCTTTCCAATATATGACTTACCAAAGAAAGCATTTAGAAAAGGTGCCCTGCTTAGATAAGAAAAGTAAGTTTTTGACCTATGTTGAAACGTCATGTAGTAGAAATCCTTTTGGCTTTAATCTATCACATTACAGCCCAATAGAATACAATGAAGGATATAATCTTAATTTGGGGTAAAATATGACAGCTGTAAAGGTGTGCGGATACTTTTGCCAGGCGCTGTAACTTATGTTATACTCTACCAAACTGCTCTTTTCCTGAAGCTTGGTCAGAGAATTTTGTGTTTCTCCAGTCACCATGATTCAGTCTTACTGGATCCCATTTTGGCATCCACACAGTATTTTAGCGTTACTATTATTATTGTCTTTTTAAATACAGATTTTAATTTCTATTTTTTATTCTAGTTTTTCTCTTTTTTTGTCTTGTTTGGTGTTGTTGTTTTTTTCAAAATGTGAAAGCCTGTGCTTGTATTTACCTCTCTGTATATCTGCTTAGCCTGTGACACACCTGCGCACTGAGCGACAATAAACGACACTTCTATTCTGTTGTATTCTTTTTCTATTCTATTCTATTCTATTCTATTCTATTCTATTCTATTCTATTCTATTCTATTCTATTCTATTCTATTCTATTCTAGATGGTTTTAAAAAGAATTACGAATATTCTGGCACCATCTTGTGGTGACATATTGTATTGCAACAACAACCCAACCCTAGAATATGCATATAGATTAGTTGTTCATTAGTCGCAGGCTTCGATTGGACAACAGTCCTTTTATTAGAGTACAGCAGCAAATTAAACAAAATCATGAGAACAAAGGAATATAGATAGATAGATAGATAGATAGATAGATAGATAGATAGATAGATAGATAGATAGATAGATAGATTTTTTTTTTTTAAGTATGCAGACATGTAGGCCTATCGGTTTTATAGGATTGAGACAGAGAGGGTAAGACATGCGCCTAAGGTCAATGGGCCGGGAATCGAACTTCAAACTTTAACCTGCGAGAAATCAATGACGACATACCCAGAACACATTCTTATTGGTTAATCTCCTCACACCCACTGTAACGCTACAGAAAGCCGGGTTGAAGGTGAGAGTCATTTTACATCTCCTTAGCTAGCAGCTCAGGTGACAGCCCCCCGCTGCTACAGCCATCTTTAAAGGAAAACATGTCACTGTTTTGTGAGGTTCCGCAGGCAGTCCCCGTTGCTGTCTTTAAACTAACACAGGACTTCAACAACGACCCATTTCCAAATAAGGTGAACCTCGGGGTGGGAGGTAAGCTGTCCGCTGTGAAGCGTTAACCATGGTAACGGTAACCAGGGGCACCGGCTGCCGCTGCGGAGTTAAATGAGGATGTGTCATACCTATTTCTGAGACCCTCTAAACTTGGTTATCTCTATAGGGACGTTTATAAATTTTAAACTAACTTTTTTTTTTTTAAATAAATATAAATGAATTGTTACAGAAGTCAATATAATTGAAATTCAAAGAGATTGCCAAATTCATTCTGCTCAGGCAGTATGTTTGGGGAAGTTGTGACTCGGTTGAATCATATCTCCTTCTTTTTTATTTATTTATTTTTTATTTGCTGGCATACTTTAAAGTCTCCTCTCTCTCTGTGATCAACATCTTAGATTGGGGTTTAAATATCCTAACAGTGCTTTTTATTTTATTTATTATTTTTTCTTTATTTCTTTATTATTTTTTTTAGGGCCAATCTATCAATTGAGTCTCCATTATGTTTTTTTTTTTTTTATCTCATGCAAATCTTGTTGCAAGATTAAATTCCTCTTTTGTAAATAAGTAGTGTGAGAAACATTTGGCTCAGTCATGGCAGGACAAGGCCAGCCGAGTGCCACGATTAGTACTGGAAGCTGAGGCTATATAATCCCCATCCCTGTGCAAGCCACACAGTGCTACAGATGGTCAAAAGCTACTGCGCAGCTGGTCAATGTAGGCCACACAGTGCCTAATGTCACATGCAAGAAGAATCATTTGCAAATCTGAAGCAAGTAAAGTTAAAACAAATTGGAAATGATATATAAACAAAGTATTTTTCTCACAAATGCTGCAGCTTGTTTGATCTATTTTATTATTAGAACATTACTCAAAATTATTAAAAGAAAAAAACAAAACAAACTCAGTATGGGAAGGTTTAGTTGAACCTGATGAATGCTGCCAAGTTGAAAGGTAAGCTGATGAGCACTCTTGCTGGGATAAAGATGATCTAGTGTGTTCCACTCCTTATCAGTTGTTTACATGTACTTCATCAGGAAACAAAACACAACAGAAGAAAGTGCGCATATGTGAGAATCTTGCGACAGGTACCAGCTGGGGTTACCTTCTTGCTGCTGTTATTTGTTTAGGATGGCATGCATAAAGCCATTCAGTTTCATTTATTGTTTAAAATTACAGTATCTCTTATATTATGATGGAAATAACAAATAGAAATGACAAATAGTCCTTAACCTGTAAAAATAGAAATGGCTAATAATTCTTAAATAACATTACACTCTAACTTCTGTTATTGTTTAGTGCAATTAGAGCAATGTTTGTTTGTTTTTTCTTACAGATCTAGAAACCATGAAACGAAATACTTTTCTGTAAAAAAAAGAGAAAAAAAAATAGTTTTTTGTCCTCTTTTCTCATTAATTAATTTTTAATTTTTCATGTTTTTAGACAGTAATACATAAAGGATATACATGCTAATGTAGGATTTTGGGAGGAAAGATGCTGATGATTATCTGGAATAAAGATAAAGATTTTTTGTTCCCTAAAGCATACAGGACAGATGAAGGAAAGCCATGGGTTTTACCAGTGGTGAAAAAAGTGGAGAAGATCATCGTTCATGATGACAGGCTAAACCATGAGTACCTGCCCATCCTGGGCCTCCCTGAGTTCAGATCATCCTCCTCAAAGATCGTATTGGGAGATGACAGTCCCGCCATTCAGGAGGACAGGGTTTGTGCTTAAGATAAATGTTCAACACTTAAGTTTTTAATCTTTTCACCAAAAAATTTGAATGATAATCTCTGTCTGGTTCGATCAGGTGGGGGGTGTCCAGTGTCTCGGTGGTACTGGTGCTTTGAAGATTGGTGCAGAGTTCCTGAGGCGTTTTTACAATGGGAACAACAACACAAAAACACCCATCTATGTGTCCTCACCTACTTGGGGTATGCCCTGTAATACTATCATATAAACAATGGAGCATCTAAGATTGAAATGAGAATTGAATCTGCTTTATCTCTAGACAAGCCCCTTATTTCAGGACTTTGATTGGCTTACAGGTAGATATTTACACTGAGAGGCACTAGGTCTGCTAATATAATCTCTTATCAGTGATCTTTTTTTTTATCAGTTGCTAGTGAGTAACAGCACTAAATCAATCTTTATTTATCTACAGGAAGCTTTAGCAATAAAATGAACTTGTGTTGTAACAGCTGTATTTAATGTCTGTTTCAGAAAATCATAATGCCGTGTTCAGCAGTGCTGGTTTTGAGGATGTCCGTTCTTACAAATACTGGGATGCAGAGAAGAGAGGTCTTGATCTGTCTGGTTTCCTCAGGGACTTGGAAGTAAGCACATGGATATTACTTAAAGTGGAAATGTGATTATTATTTTTAATTGTCCGCTCTCACATCTTTCCCTGTAGAGTTGTCCTGAGCGCTCCATCTTTGTTCTGCATGCCTGTGCCCATAATCCCACTGGAACTGACCCCACACAGGAGCAATGGAAGCAAATAGCTGAAGTCATGATGGTATTTCTCTTAAAAACACACATACTTCTAACATTCTTTGTTTGTGCAGTATTGCTCTATGAAGGGTCATTTCCGCTGCTTTTAAGTAATGATTTATGTATTTCTCACCAGAGGCGAAAGCTGTTTGCATTTTTTGACTCGGCCTATCAGGGATTTGCCTCGGGTAACCTTGAGAAGGATGCTTGGGCTGTCCGCTACTTTGTCTCGATGGGTGTGGAAATGTTCTGTGCTCAGTCTTTCTCAAAGAACTTCGGGCTCTATAGTAAGTAACCTGCTGCAACATTGAAACTCTAAACTCCAATTTGGAAGCTATTACCAGTGATTAAAAAAGGGTCCTTTTTCTTGCAAAGTGAATGATAATGCTCATAAGGCATCCAGGCTTTTCCTGATTGTTTTTACATTACAACCACATACTTCAAAGGGTTTTATTGGTACTTTATAATAGAAATAATATGTCATTTTGAAATGACAGAAAAAGATTAAAGGGTTTTCATGTTTTCCGCAAAAATCTTAAAAAGCAACTTGCGTTTAGCGCCACTGAGTCTGTGCTTAGAACGAGCATTTGCTGTAATTCCAGCTACAGATTTGTTTCTTTGGACACCAGTAGACTAAGATTTTAATTTATTTTTTGAAAATTAACTCAGAATAAATGCAGACCTTGTGTAAAGACTATTTTTCCAGTTTCTAATTAGGTTTAGGCTTTGATTGGTCCATCAATTGATTGAAACTGTTCTATTTTAGCTTCACTATTTACTATCATTGCTTTGCAGGACAACAGACCTCTGCCTGCCTCTGTAGCCTTTCTTTCATTGTGTAAAAGGTCATTGTTTAAAATGTCTCTGTATCTACAGTCACCCCATTAGAATCATGTTTCAGGCTGGGTATAATGCAATCAAGGAATTTGGGCCCACTGTGCATAATGTTTTCCATGCAGCCCAAAATATTCTTCTCATTTTACAGAATAATTCTTTTGGAATTTCTACTTTTGGAGGCAGTTGGTTGCGCTTAATTTTAATTTTTGTCACTTAAAAGTGATTCATGTATGTGTTACCTTGTAGTGGATTATCAAATAAAATCCCAATAGAATATAGAACTGAACAAAATGTGAAAAACCTTGAAAGTTAGGAAAACTTTTGCATTTGCATTACAACACTTGCCACCTTTTTATCATGCCTGCATTATTTTATAGTATAGACATCACATTTTAAAAGGGAACTTCTGCTCATTCACCAGATGAGCGTGTGGGCAACCTGACAATCGTTGCTCAGGATGCAGATAACCTAAAGAGGGTTCTCTCCCAGATGGAGAAGATCGTCAGGACCACCTGGTCCAACCCACCATCTCAGGGAGCTCGCATCGTTGCGGTCACACTTAGCTCACCAGAGCTATTTTCTGAATGGTCAGTGTGAAACCTTCTCATAGAGTGACTCACCAAGGCTTTTCATGAGTCACAATAGCCACCAGATTTATGTTTGCTTTCAGACTCACCTGTTTTTATTCATTTAGGAAGGATAATGTGAAGACCATGGCTGACAGAGTCTTACTGATGAGGGCTCAGCTTAAAGCCAAGCTTCAGTCTCTTGGAACACCGGGGACCTGGGACCACATCACAGAACAGATAGGCATGTTCAGCTTCACGGGCCTTAACTGTGAGTTCCAGGACGTATACACACAACACTGGGGGGGTGGTTGGGGTAGCCGAATGTATAGAAGCCTGCTTGGAAACATTCACCACGGGCTCTGCAAAGAGTCAAGTGAGTCAAAACGTCCTGCTCTTTCCCTCTGCAGCTAAACAAGTGGAATACATGATAAAGGAGAAACATATCTATTTGATGGCCAGTGGTCGCATCAACATGTGCGGTTTGACCAGCAAGAACATCGACTATGTGGCCGAGTCCATCCATGAGGCAGTTACCAAGGTCCAGTAGGAGGGTCTCCCTCCTGCTGCCCCGCCCTGAGGAGACGAAGTTTGTCGCACAGATTTTGCTATTTGCTGACATTTGCAGATGGCTATCTTGAATTTAAATTCACTGTTTAGATAGGTTGAACACATTTTGAACAGAGATACTGCTGCAAGTATAGATTGTGTCCCAATACAACTTTTACATTTCCTATATGATACCAATACTGCAGCTTTGAGTATTAACCAATACGGATGTACTGAGCTGATAAGATATTAGCACAAATCATATATGCTTTTATAACTCACTTTATATTGTGAAATTTTAGCAAAGGGCTGATTTAGTTAAATTATTTAAACAGAGAACAATAATCAACAGCATTGGTTGACCCTGACCCGTGTGTTATTAACCAATGGGTTAAATAGACTTTAAACAGAAGCAGATAGAAGGAACGGAACATCCCAGTTTCTTATACCACACATGTGGTAATACATTAATTTTCATACGTTAATTTGAATGTTCGTTCTCCTCCTTTTCTTCTTCTGTTTGTATGAAAATATTAAAACATAAGAGCAGATTTACCGGGACCTGTTTAACTTATAATGCAGCTATTATGAATGACTGCTTTAAAAAGATTCATATCTGAATGACATTTTAAATGTTGTTCTCAGGAATATATTTCAAGTTTACCCATTTAAATGTATTAACCAGTGGAATCTGTAGTTACCTCCCTTGAAAATCTGCATTCATAGTATTTCTCTCAAGTCTGAGTCAGCACAAACAGCATCGATTGGTCCTAACGGGTGTCATGACTTCATAGAAATGTGTGCTCAGTGCTACAGGCTCAATGTCTCGATGTTTCCGATCCTGTCAGGTTCTTACTGGTTATTGTTTACCCTTCACAGCACAGACTAGCTCTTGTGTAATAGTGTTGTTCCTGAAAAATAAAAAACTAATGATCTACCAGCCTGCTATCACCTCTCTATGAGCAGCACAGTTATAAACAGACTGATAAGTGATTTAATTTAGGTGGAGAGTCCTGATAAGTGGGTCATTCTCAATAAAAACCCAGTGTTATGTTTGCATTGTTTCTAAACCTGTTGATGAGAGTCTGTCTTTTGCATCTATCTTTACAACCTTCCTGTAAATCAAATAAAAAATATATCAAAGTTTGCATTTCGAAATCAATTTAATTTAGAAAAAGTAAACAGTGGAAACAAATCAAACTCAACAAGAATAACAGGTCACTACATTTATTAATATATTATTTATTTAATGTCAAATGATATGTTTCTTTGCATCTTCATATAATCCCCTAGTTTTCTCTTTTATAATCCAAAACATGCTACCAGTCCCAACTAATCTGAAAAATCTCTAAATGCATTTGACTTCACACTCAAATCCTCTGAGTCAGCTGTCAAATCAGGAAACTTTCACCCCTGTGTGTCCTGTGTCTGTGGGATCATTCTGAGTAGCTTAGCTGTGCAGGAGCCTTTGTACGTACGCTGTTGTACCAGGCAGAATGAATGAAGTCACAGAACGTCCCTAAACACACAACCTCCGTTTGAAGGGACGGGGCATAGGCTTTTGACGTCAGTGTGTGTTCAATTGCTTTCGTCAGTCAAATCTCTGTCTGCAATGCGTTATGCAGAAATCCAGGCACAATTTCAGAATGCAGATCAGCAAAACTCCAACCTTAATCTCTTATTTTAAAACACTGCATTATTGTAGTAACACAGGATTATGTGAGTAGTTTTACTGACATTTCTTTCAAACAACCTCTGTCCTCTAGTCCCTAATTATGATCTCTTAAAGCAACCTTTAAATCAAGGTTTCTTTGTCACATGAAGGCATTATTTGTTAGCCTGCAGACTTTGTCAGACTTATAAATTCCACTCCGACTACCGACTGTGCTTTAATAGGGAGTTTCATATCTTTTTACATTAGCATGCATAAGAGAAACAGGACCTTTGTGGGGTCAGTCTTATGGTATATGGAACAAAGACAGACATGCAGGTATACAGTGTTTTCCAAAAGTATTCACAACTCTTTCCCTAATCTTTTTATCAGGCTACAACCCCAAACTCATATATGATTTATTGAGATTTTATCTCTTAAAGCAACAAAAAGTAGTGCACAACTGTGAAGTTGCAGGAAGTCAATATAAATTTTTCAATTTGTGTTAAAAGAAATATGTAGATAGTGTGACAGTCATTGGTATCAAGCCACCTTTTACTTGATGCTTCGAAATATAATAAAAAATATAGCCTTAATTGGTCACTCAAACATTAAATAATTAAGTGGATTAAGAATATTAATAACTGAACCAGAAACAGCATTAAGAAATCTATGATGGATCTGGAAGAGTGAAGTGATTCATGGGGGTTGGATCCACTGAGGTTTAGGTTCACTTTCGAACAGGACGGTGACCCTAAGCATACAGTCAGATCAAACATCTTCATATGCAAGAATCTCCAACTCTAGACCTGTAGAGAATAGTGGACTGCATCTAAAACGGTTTGAGGTATTTAATGAAGAAAGGGTAAAGTCTTTGCATGTGCAAAGCTGGAAATGCATGTTCCTCTGGTTATATATATGTATATGAAAGCCAGTCTTCCATTTTACAGTTATTCACTTTTTTTATTGAGCTATTTAATAAAATCTGAATAGGTAGAAAGCTTGTGGTTGCACCATGGTAAACTATTAAAAAGTTCAAAGGCTGTGAATACCTTTGATGGCACTGCAGCAGATACTTCTTCAATAATATCTGTTTGGATCCTGAGATCCTTAGCTTATTATTAGCTGGTGTCTACAGCTTGAATGAAAATTATCGGAACATTTAAAACTCCCTTAAAACAGACTATATGCAGGTAAACCAACTGGACTGTTTTATTAAACGTGTTCAAGTTGGTGGAAAGATGATTTTTTTTATGGATAAAAGCTTTGCAGTTCTGCTCATTCGGCTACTGTAGACATAAATATTGTGATGGTAAAAACAGAAGAACTTTCAGAAAAGAAAGTTACGTTCATCTGAATCTGTGAGATTAAAACTTCACATTGTTATTTTTGTATCGCATTCATAATTCTGACACTTTCATATAAAATTAGTTAAAAACAATATTCAATTTCACCTCATTTCCTTACAGCCAGGCTTAAGTTTGGCAATTTTATGGCTTTTAAGAAGCTAAGTAAAAATTGTGCTCCCGTTTTGGCGGCCCCTTCTATCTGCCCTTGTGTGCTCTGCTGTGCTGGCAGTATTTCAGGCCCCTTTTGGTATCATCTGAACAGCTCCTTGTGCAAATATTTTCATAATGTGAGTACTATTGCACAGTTGTCGTAAAGCGAGAGAAAAATAAATGAACCCTGTTTATATTTAAATACTTTGTTGTTCCAGTGTAGGATACTTAAACTACAAATGACAACTTAAATATGGCTATCAACATCAGGAATGTACGGTACCTACCATTAAAAGGAATCATGGACAAGGCTTGCACTGTAAATGTGGATAAAACTGAAAGGGTTTCATGCAGCCCAGTGAAAGACTTCAGTTGTTATATATGCTTTTACAATTTGTCTCACCAAGTTCTAAATTTTAGGCAAACAGGGGGCAGAATGTGTTGATGGGGTCCTGAGCATTTATAAGTGGCTGAAGAGAAGGTGGATCAAGTCTGAAGAATGTTTAAGTACAAATAGCATCCAGGAAAGGACCAGTAGGAAAGGGGGTGATTCATCCTTCCTTCCTCATGTTGCTGGCCTAGCTTGTTACCGATGGTTGCTCCGAACCCTCCTCCAAACTCTGCTCTCCATCTCGAGACTTTTTTCTCCTCTTGTTACCTAGAAACAGAGGGGAATATGGTAATCTGACTGGCTGACATCACTGTCTTTCTCCATATGCCATCACTCAAATGAAGTATATTCCTTCACTTTAACATTTCTCTCAAATGGTTGAATACAGCTGAAGCAAAAATGGAAAAATAATAAGACAGCCTGAGTCATAAATCTGTGCCAACAAGAACAGCTGCATCTGGAGGAGCCGCTCAGTAGGAAGCAGTGGGCTGCATTATAGAGACACAACACGTCACGTGTTGCTAGGAGACGCTTGGGACCATTGCTGCAGCTGGCAGAAAAGTTCAGGCACATCTGACAGCGTGTGTGGGTGGTAGCTGTGGTATCGCTGCTCATGATGAACTACTCACTCAGTTTACGAAGGAGCTTCTTCCCGATGTTCTCCTCTGAGCTGGACAGAGACAGGGAGCTGATGAAAGGGGAGGTTGACGGCTCTGTAGGCACATCTGTAACAAGCATGAAAGCCGTGACATTATAAACTAAAGTCATACATAGGTCTGAGAACCAAATAATTAGAGTATAGAAACAAATATAACAGAGTACAGAATTAAAAGCCTAATGAATCTTTAAATTAAGAATTGATTTAGAAATATAAAGCAAAACCAAAGCCCCAAAGATCATGAGAGTTAGACTTTTGCAGTCATGTTTTTTTCACAAACATTATTTATAAATTGATATACATTTTTGGACTTCTCATTGAGCATGTGTTGATTAGATTTTACAAAACAGTGTTTCCATTCTGCAATTTGATTTTGGTCCAATGCTATCCTTGTATTAACAAAAATACATTTGGCTGTTTAGTGAATATTGGTTTTAAATTTCAACTTTTTGATTTGTCTATCTGTTCCAACAGATATTAAAAAAAAATCTACAAATGTGGCTAATCTCCCCTCACTCAGCGTAAAAGTCATTGAAAAAAAATACATTTTCCACAAGTAGAACACAAGCTGCTTTTAGGAGTCAGCAGCCTGTTACCATCGTCAGGTGAATTCTCTGGTCGGTCCTCATGGATGTAGGGGATCTCATCCATGCGAAGGAAAACTGTATCATTTGGACTCCTCTGCCCATCAGATTTACTGCCTGTTTGGAGGGAAAAATAAGACCAGTTAAACAGTTAGCATGAAAGCAGCAGCTTGTTTGTCGCTCTGCCTGTAGAGGGAGGTAAAGAACCACCTATTTACTCTTAAATGAACTTCTGAGTGGTTGAGTCAAAGATTTAATATGAGAGGACAAGAATTAGGATTGTAGACTGAACTGAAACTAGATACTGCAAGTGGAAAGGGTTGTATCTCTAAATACTGTAACTTACTGCTTTAACTACTTGCTAGTGATGCAGATCTGTCCGATAAACCGATAAACAAGCATCAGCACAGTCCCAGCAACACAGTAGACATATTGAAGGTTAAAATGTTCATGGGAAATTGAAAAACTATAGAAAATGGATCTATACCAAATTTGAAAAAGCATCCATGAGAATACTTCCCTATAATCTGTATTTCTGCTGAAAAAGAAAACATTTCATTTTTTTGCAACTTCATTACTAGTTTTTTGTTTTGTTTTTCTGCACAAGGTATTTAATATTATTATCTCCATTATAGATAAGGTAACTGAAATTAAACTCAGTTAAAGGTTATGTCGGCGGATGGAATGATGGTCAGATGGAAGCCTTCTAGAAACATCAACAAAGTGATGTCTGTGCAAAATCAACCTGTAGAAACTATTCACTCTATTAAAAGTTAAATGATAAATATTGTTGATACAACAGCTTTTATTGAATGTCAAACATTTGTCACAACAATTTCTTTCAGTCCCCAATTTTTTTGTTTGGTTTTGATTATTATTGTATTTTTTTTCTCTCTGTTCAATGCTTAAACATTAGTATTTTTATGTTGTTGGTTAAGCAATATTTTCCACTTGGTTTATTTTTTTTTCTTATAAAATCCTTATTATCTTTTGCATAAATAGTGTCACAGTAATGACATTTAGACTAACTCCAATCAAGAAAACTTTACAGTCAACTCTTTTTGTCAAAGTTTACTTATTGTGAATAACTTACGAACAATGCGGTTTCTCTCGTTGAGCTGCGAGGTGCTGTGAAGGCCACCGTATGGATGGAGGCGTGTTAAGCGCCCCAACCCCAGTCGAGTGTGCATGCTCATAAGCGGGAGGGCGATGCTGTTTGAGCGAGCCTCTGGGCCCTTGGGTCTTCCTTTAATGTCAGGACCCATAGTATCTGGGGTCTGAGGAGTGCTGTCCATCCGCGTGGCTGTCATTGCATTCTGGTAGTGGTTCCTGGTGATCTGTGGCATTTAATACATTTATCATAATTCTGTTTGCATGCAAGACTTTTGTCATTACTATAAATCAATGCATTCACTAAAATATAGGCCATATTTGCACAACAAGGGTTAGGAGAAAGGGCATATCCGCTAGGTGAAGTCAGTACAGTCCTCTTGAAATGGAGCTCAATTATCCTTGGTGATTAGGGGAAGGAGGCTGTGGGGAGGAAAGTCTGAGGGACAGGATGTCTGTGTAAAGTCAAAATCTACGATTCGGACATATCAAAGGCAAAATCTGCACCGGAGAAAGAGTGCACATTATTCAAAATTCAAAGTGTGGTAAAAGTGTGGTTTTCTTGTTTAAGGTTGTAAGTTATAGCCCTTAATGTACAGGAAGTTAGAGATTTGAGGTTATAATTACAGGAAAATTAAGGTTTAATTTAGTGAATAATAATAGTGTTTATTTTCCTTTTGTTTCTGTGCGTTTAAAGACCCCAAACCTTGATGATCTGCAGGTCTGTGAGCTGTCGTACTGAGTAGTCTGGTAAATAAGCCCCTCCGCCTGCTGTGAGCTGACCCACGCTGCCCCCATTCAGTAACGAGTCTGACTGGTTCAGGCCGCTGCTCCGAGAACTGTATCTCTGGGCTGAAAAGAAAAGTGAAAAAAAACCACAGAGTTTGTCCATGTAAAGTAAATTGCCATTAAAAAACAGCATTAATTTTAAGTTTTTAGGTTTTATTTATCTATTTTTTGTTTTAAGATTGCATTGTCGCGATTAGGTTTTGTCTGCCCTGATCAAGCTTGGCAGGCAGCTTCAGGGGGTCCTAAAGAATGACTGATGTGTCTGTTTTTAAGCTCCTAAATCCTACTGAAATATTTCTGCATCATTCTGTTGAGCTGTGAGTTTTATCTGGTAGACTATACCAAATACATCTGTAAATCCTTTATTTAGCTCTAAAATAGGATAGGGATGCATTCTCTTAAATATGGTCCTAAAATAATCAATTCTGTAGACATTGGATCCATCCATGTAGAATCTTATGTGACATACCAATACAGAGTAATTAAGCAAAAGCAATGGGATACGCTCCCAACTTTGCAATATCTCTGTGCTGTTTATCAAGTAAAATACAAATGAAAGATTTTAAGGAAAAAAGCTTCTGGTTATAATGTGAATAAATATGAGAAAGGTCAAGATTTATTTTGCTCGGTGCTTAACCACGTTTACAATTTTAGTTTGACATAAAATTTGTGCCAGTTCTACAAAATTATTTTTATAATTCAATGTCTTTTGTAATTTCAAAAATGTCTTTAAAAATACCCCTTTGACTCAAAAAGAGAAGAAAAAATATAAAAGCTACAGTTTTTACCAAATCATGTACCAGTTTCTGCTTCAGTGAAATTTTAAACATATAATCTACTAAAATATGACTTTCTGAATATTTAATAGGAGCTTACAAATATATTTAGGCTCAACTTAAGGATCAGATGTTAAAATGAGCCTGCAGAAGAGATCAGAGAGAGAGACTGTATGGCAGGATTCTGCTTGCTCTGCAATCTTAGCTGGATTTCCCATAATCTTGAGCAGGTCAGGCCCCTCCACTGGGAAATTCTCTGAAAAAGCTTCATTTAATTACTTTCTTCTCACGGCTTCTTCCACAGCTCCTGTATCCTGACAGATACCCAGCTGCATTAAGACAGCAATATTGTTCTACTCTATTGCAGCAGTGAAAACCAAAGTCTTCTTTATGCTGCCATCATCATCCCTTTGACATCAAGTTCCCTGTAACATGTTGATTCTCACCAGTTGGCGGAGGTGGGATGAGTGCTGGCATGCCATAGTAGGAAAAGGCTCCATTTTCAAACCGAAGAGCTTCCTTCCCTATTTCCACCTCCACCCGTCCCTGCATTGAGAACACATTGATATGGATTAAGCTACCTCAGTAGTCCTTATTGATTTTATTACTCATGGAATGAAACATCCTTATTCGATATAAACATCTATATGAAGCAGTGAACTGAAATTGACCTGCAAAATGAGGATGAAGTAGTCAACGGGTTTGTTTCTCTGATAGAGATAGTGTTGAGGAGCATGTTTGTTCTTGGAGTCGAACTTGAGTTCCTGCACGACACTTGGATGTTTGATGAGGCGCAGCAGGATCTTTTCTGAAAGGTGACACAACCTGAAGGGCTCCACTTCTACAAAACAAATTTAGAAAAAACACAAATGCATGAAAACAAGAACCAGAGACACGTTTTTTTTGCACATCTTTTTCTTATCTTTTCGTGAGGTGTTAACCCAGCTCATATTACCTGTACTCAAGAAGCGATGTGTTGCAAGCAGAAGCTGGGGAGAGATCTTCACTTTTAGCTCATTTTCACCAAGTTTGAATATAGAGAAGTCCTGCTGCTTCCTCTCATGGTGGGACACCCTCCTCTTGGTCCGATTGTCAGCTATGAACCAGATATTGGATGCATATTTTTTTTAAAAGGACGGTATATGCTGCAGATGGAAACTTTTCACTAAAATGCTGCCGTGGTTTATGATTATAGAGATATAAGGGACAGAAAACACATTTATGAGTAAAATAGTTGAGTGACAGCCGTTCTGTGTGTACTGATACTGATATCCTTTAAACATTTTAACAACCACAAATTTAAATATCATTTCTAAGTTGCACATTATTGCAAAGTGAAACAAAATATGGTTTCCAATTTTGTTGGATGTAAAATTACTACTGAACATTTTAAAGCATTTTATTACCAAATATCTTCGTGGTAAAACAGTGTTTATGATGCCATCATGCTTTTTGATAGTGTTTCTTATAAGGTCTTTATTAATGATAGGTTGAAGGCATCTTTAAAAATACCCACTTAGATAAATGCAGCGATAAATTGTTTGGTAGAGTATCACTTAAAGTGGACTAAATAATCTTTAGATTTTGATTTGTTAAAACTATGCATTGATTTGTTCCTTAGTCATGTTAAAAACAATTTTGTTGTTTTACAAAATAAATTCTCAATAATACAATATGTATGTTGTCAATGGTAAAAACTAGAAAAATTGGCATTAAAACATATGTAAGCACTCTACCTGAGATTAACCCTTGATAATATATCTAATGCTTTTAAACAACAAGTTTTTCAGCATTACCTGAACAGTTTTTACAACTGCTGTTAAACTGTAAAAACTGTTTTCATCGTAATGGCAGTGAATGATGGATTAGATATGAAATGAAGTGTGTTTGGCATTCAAATGCCTCGCTGTCAAGAGCTTATCCAGCCAATTAAAAATGAGCCGCTTATAGTGCTTATCTGTGAGACGTGGTCATTTATTTACGTTAATTAATTGTGCATCAAAAAGGATAAGGGGATGTCAGGCTAGATGATGCAACACCAATAAATTGATTTAAAAAATGAGAGCGTGTGGGGAGAGGATGATTCTGATCTAAGTACTGTCAGGTCCCAAAGGTTAAAATTAATAAGCTTTTGAGAGCAATCCATTGTTTCATAAATAACTGTAGGATCTGTAGGACCTGTCTGCATGCTCAGGGGATTTATTTTTTACGTCATGAAAGGGATTGGAACATCTGTTTTCTGTCAATGTTTTAGGCTGGAGTAATCTGTAGTGTAACGATATTAGAGGTATTTATTTTCCACAAACTGGCCCCACTAAAATCAAATCATTGTTGTTTAAACACGACAGCCTAATTGGGTATTGTTGCAAATCATGTCTACCCCTTTATGAGTATATGTAGAGCTATATAAAGAGGAGCTGGCATCATGACAGATTATATGATGCCAAATTAAAACCTTGAAAATGTTTCCTGCACTTCATTAGTGAAAAAGTGGTTCAACCTGTTACTAGTAAGGTGTACCTGATAAAATGAGCATACTTTATGATGGAAGTCAGAAACTATAAAACCAAAACAATGACGTTGTGATTGTGCTTTATAAAGTGTGCATATACGTACTGTACAAGTCTGTCTCATCCACAATCTCAGACTTGATGATTTCTTCAATCACATCCTCCAGTGTCACAATGCCCATCACTTCATAGAAAGGGTCCCCCTCGCCTTCACTGTTCACCCTCTGCACAACAGCCAGGTGAGACTTCCCTGCATTCATGAGAACAGACAGAGGGAAAGTGAAGCTGAGCTAAAATCTGCTTGTGCAATGTGTTGGAGCGGGACATCACTGGATTAAAAATAGCTCTGAGCAAACAGCCTCCAACTGGTCAAGATGAAAATCAACACAGACTGTTGAGACACCATGAACATTCAAGGGTAAATCTAGCTCAGATGTTGAGCTTTGAATAAAAGCCGTATCAGGATTGTGCTCATGTGTGTTCTTAGGACAAACAATCAGTCTAGAGCAATTTTTGGCAACTTGGAAAACCTGACCCATTACATAAAACACTGAGATTGCAAAGATTTATGATGCCTGCATGTGTCAAATTAACTTAGCAATGCTGCTGTCACCTCTGTAAAAACAAAACATGGCCACTTTGTGCACTCATGAGCAAACCTTCCACTCAGAATGCCCACTCACAACATGTCTTCCAGACCCAGTCACACAACTAGCCCACAGCATCCCTGCATGTAGTCTGCAAACTAAATGTGACAAGAAGTCAATGTTGCCACAACCTTGAATATCACAAAGGGAAACAGGAGAAACGACACACAGCTTTTTTTCATTTCATTTCATTTCAAGGAAAACATATTTTAAACATGCAGCTGCAATAATACAGTTTAACACATACCTTTTTTTTTTCTCAAGAAACACGTCAGCTTGGTGACTAGTAACGTTACCCAACCAGATTTACGTCATTTGGACACACATTTCATGGAAATAGTCTCCAGTCTTGCATAGAGGCTAAAACTGCAGGAGAGGGGCTGATTTAGGGGATCTCTGCCAGGGGATAAAAAGAATGCTTTAATCCAGTCCAACGAGGAAGGACAAAAATCTGATTGACTGACTGACATGCAGCCATCTTCACATATTAGTCTGTAGCAGAGTGAGTTTAGCTGAGACAGCAAGGCTGTGCCCAGAGCTCAGGTCAGCATGTCTGAATAGCACAGGTGATGCACAGGAGGGTTTGCCATCAGCTGCTGATGCTCCCATGAACTGCATTACATCATTCACGTGTTACATAATGCTCATGCATAGTGACACACACCCAGCACGCTCACAAGTGAAGACACTCTTGCCTGGGGTGAAACTGGGTCCTCTGTGGATGTTCTTTTCACAAATACTTCTGCTCCAGCAGTTTCCCAGACTCCTGTGTTCTATTTTTGAAAATCATCTGTTCTTGTAGGCTGTGCATTTATTTTTGGTTACATTTTCTGCATAAGAACATCCATAAAAAAAATGTTTGTTTAAATATGCAGGAATAGAACAGCTTACGGCAAACATTCAGTTGGAACTGAGTGTTGTCTAGTTATTCATATTTTTATGAATAACTAGACATGGTCAAACTATTTATACACAGATAAATAGTTTCACCAAACTAAAATAACAGAATCTAAGTGATTATTTACACACTGATGAATTAGTAATGGCAAGCCAGTAACATATGCTGCAAAACTGCAAAATTCCTTAATTCTTAAGGTAACACGTAGAAGCCTGTGTTTTTTTAACAATCCTAGAGAATAAATAATACCCTTCTAAGGTATTTTTCCACTTTTTTAATGAAATAGTTTATTGTTTATTTGATTTTGAATTTGGGGGATAGCTCTTTTTTAATACAATGGATAAAATCCAATATTACCTGACTTCTGTGGTTCTGGTTTAACAGGATTTTGCATCATTTCATTAGTCACCCAAGGTCCTCTAACAAAGAGATTTGTGAAAATCGTTTTTGACTGTTTTTTCCTGAATGAATTAGAAACTCTATCATTAGCAAAACAGCTATCTTGCTATCAAAGTTTCTTTAGATTCCCCCCTTGATTTAAAAAATGTCTAATTTGTGTTTTTCTAGCAACTGAATGCACCAAAGATTTAAATTTGATAAGAAGACATGATTAGACTGAGACTGCAGACATTTTCTGCAGATCAAACTCAATTAGTACTGCATTTGAGAGAAAACTAAATAAGTTAATAAAAGTTCCTCCGTATGTCTCTTCATTCTGTCCTCACTTATTCTTTTTTAAATTACTGATGACATTTTCATTCCCCGCTGAAGCTCCAGCCTGACCGAACCCCTGCTCATCACCCCTCTCAGTGAGACATCAGGTCAAGCTTCCAGCTGAGCTTCCTGAACAGCAGGATTGTTAATCCTTGAGAGAACAGAGGGAAGCAGGAAAGAGGGAAAGCAAAAGGTTGGAGTTGAATTTTTCATGATTTACTCTGCAGGCTTAGCAATGAAAAGCGATAATGAAAGACCCTTAAAGCCTAAGTGGGTTCAGATATATTGGAAATTTAAAGGGGAATCTTGACTTTACCTTTTATAACTCTGACATTCAAACAACAGGAATCAACAAATAGAGAGAGAGAGAGATAGATGTATAGATATATATATATAGATGGATAAAGAAAAAAAAAATGTTTTTCCAAAAGTTGAGCTGATCTCTTTCCCCTAAATGCCCACTTGCCAAAGCTTAATGCTGCCGTTATCATTCTCAACAGAAAAAAAATTAAAGTAAAAGCAAAAGAATTCATTTCTGTTGAACGTTTTAATTGTTGCAATGAATTTTAATGTATTTTGTTGGGTTTTTGTGTGACAAAGTGACATGATTATGGAAGAAAAAGTATTTTTTCCCATTTCCATAAATAAAAAACGGAGGTATAGCATGTATACTGTAATTGTTCCGCCTTCAATTAATCAACAAAATGTAGATTCACTCTGGAGCGAACAAACTGGAGACTATGTAACAACATCAATTTTTAAATTTTTCCAAAGATTGCTTGAATTATTCCATATTCTGGTTGTATGCTGAGGGTTTTTCCCCCTGGAAGATGAACCTCCAGCTCACTCTCAATCCTTTGGAAGCCTTTAAAAGGCTTTCTAGTGTTGCTCTACATTTAACCTCCTCTATTTTCCCATCAACTATTACCAGTCCCCCTCTCCCTGCTAAAGAAAACAATCCCACAGCATGACACAGGCTAAAATATTTAATTTTGAACACATCCGACCACTCAGTTGTTACCATGGACCTCTTGGCCTCCTCCAAATGAATGCTTCTCTAACTTTGTCTGTAACTGCCTCTAAGTCTATATTGGTTTGAGTTCTCAGACAGTTTCCAGAATGTCTGTATCAGCATATGAAGGGCTGTATATCATGGTATGCTGCGATTCTACACACTTTTATTTGAAAACCACCTTATAGAACCATGCAGTCTTTTTTTTTATCTATCTTAGTAAAAGACTGTACTTGGTATTGGGCTTTCACAGAAATTTCAGTACTATATGCAGTAACACACTGAAGCCAGTATTTATAAAGATTAATGGGTAACAATAATTTTGCAAGGTACATTGAATTTCAACCCTTAAATAACAGTTATGCCTCATGATTTAAGTTTATTTTATGCTGAAAGTGGAGCAGCATGAACTGTTTGACTCAACATCTACTATACATGTTGTTAAGCGATATCTTCAAGCCCTGAGACATGTTCTCCCAAAACTGAACAAATGTCATCTTTATAAGAGTCAGAGTCCCACAATCAGTCAGCATAAATTATTAATGGGCAATGCATGTGTGAGTAAGAGGAAGAAGTCAAAAATATAAGTTTGTAAAAGTTGCATTTAAAAAGAAAGTAAAAAGAAAAGAGCTAAAACCAAAAACAGATCTTTGAAACAGTAATTGGTTGTGCTACCCTTAAAGGCAACGATGACACAGCATTTATAACTGTCCTTTTATGGCATTTTTTGTTCCACTCATCTTTGCAGAATTATCTTAATTTTGTTGCACTGGATGTTTTTGTTTTTTTTAAATAGTCTGTTATTTGTTATGGGACAACATTTCCATCAATAATGCTTCCTTTTTGCTATATCTCAGATTAGTTTATGGTACGGCACTCACTTCTACGGTCCACTTATTTCTTATTTTTTCACCAAATATTTTACAGTCATGGAAATTGTCAAGATGATTTTGGCCAATATGGCTTTTGTGTTGCTTTTAATATACAGCAGAGTATAGGACGGCTTGTATGGAAGTGCTCTTTGACCTGTTTCCTGACTCACTGATTTCTTAACATTAATAGCGTATATTTTAGTGCACTTTATGCAGTTAATCAGATTTAGTGTCTCAGTTAAGGAAAGTTTTTTTGTCCAGTGAAGCAAAAGATGTGGTTAGGTACAGTTCAATCTGATTTAAGGTAACAGGATTAGTCTGATGATCTATTTATTTGATGATCAGGAACATTTGAGTGTGTGCGTGGGTGTGTGTGTGTGTGTGTGTGTGTGTGTGATAAAAAAAGGGACAATAAAAATGAGAAATGGTTTAAAATGAAGTTCAGGGGGCTGTATTCACTCATAACAAATTCTTAAGATGTCTCCACTATGGTTCTTGGTATTTTCTAACCCCTGGCTGAACCATATGCACTGTGTGACACTGTCTCACATTTCACATATGGCTTTCAGTGTTCTGGGGATCAAAGTGCTTTACTGGTAGATGAACTTTAAGCCAATGAACTGATGTATACAATGACTTCTGTGGGGAAAATTTAGTTTTTAGAGCATAGTCACTTCAAAGGACATTGAACTCCTAGGTGGAAGGATGTCTCCAGTGGTTTGCTTCAAACCATGTGGCGCCTCACCCATTTTAAACTGATTTCTCACTCATGTGAAACACAGAGGAATTTCCACAAAAAGACCTCTTGAGTTTTTTTTTTTTTTTTTGGTTTACCTCTCTTGAATTCTTCCAGCATCACATCCAGTTTGGTGTCATTGAAGACGCAGTGCATGGGATGCTTGTAGAACTGTGTGATTGTTTTAAGGGGAGTACAGTCATCCGGATCAACGAACGCCAAGTCTTTAACGAACAGAATGTCCACGATGTTGGACCTGTCGTTCTCGTAGACCGGAATTCGGGTAAATCCGCTTTGCATCACATCGGACATGGTGCAGAAGTCCAGCACTGCATCTGATGAAAGCATGTAGCAATCTGACAGCGGGGTAAGCACATCCTCCACGGTTTTTGTCCTCAGCTCCAGGGCTCCCTGGATGATGTTTAGCTCCTCCTTGACCAGGTCATGATAAGGGTCGGTGACGCGCAGCATAGCCACCAACTTCTCCCTAGTGTAAAAGCTGCTGATCTCCTGGTGCAGCATGATGTCCAGGATCTTGGAGACCGGGTAGGCGATGGGAAAGAACACGAGCATCAGAAAGCGGGTGGCGCACAGAGTTTTGGAGGCGATGGCGAGGCTATGCCTGGACGCAACGGAGTGAGGTAATATTTCCCCGATAAAGAAGATCCCCAAAGTGCATGAGGCAGTTGACAAGGCAGTCATTCCTAAAATCTGACACATCCACACCACAAAACAGGTATTTGTGAGGACGTTACCCAACACCACTGTGCAAAGGATGTAGTTCCCATGTTTACGCACGGATTCTATTTTCCCTGCGTATTTCTGCTCTTTCTCCGTGCCACTGTTCTGCAAGACCCGGAGCTCCACTGGGTCAAGAGCCAGCATGCTGATGTTCAGCCCACTGCACAGGGCTGACAGCGCTAACAAAAGCACAGAGACCCCGGTCTGGAGCCAAACATCTGGCTCCGGAGGTTTCTCCACCACAGCCAACCAGAAGTCTTTGGTCCTGAAGTGCTCCCATTTCACTCCATCAAAGGCGCACATGGAGTAATATTTGATCACCTCATCTCTGCGCAAGTCTTTGACCAGCAGTTCAACCAGAACAGAGTTGTGACTTGAAGCGGATCTAAAGGAGCCCATGAGTTCTATGTCGGAGCTCCGGGAGCTTTCATCCTCACACAGTTTCTCATCGGACCGGAGCCCCTTCCCCGCATCCCCAGCTATGCCGCTCGGTTCTTCTATGAAGGCGATCCACGGAGCGGCAGGTTTCCCGCTGATATTCCCGCTGTTGGGATGCTCGGAGAAGTAAACCCTCAGCATGAAGCGTGTCCCCTCTTTCGCTCTCAAAATCCCGTCCTGCACGGACAGATCCCCGCTCTGAGTATCTTCGGGCCGAACGCCGAGCAGCGCAGCAACTGGAGCGGGCAGGGATGAGAGAGAGATGGTGAGGAAGAGGAGGGAGAGCCGGCGCGGATGCAGGATGCAGCAGTGAGCATCCGCAGCATCCACAGCCATGGTGCTGAATGAGCTGAAGGACGAGGGAGAATTAGGTCACGTG